ACCTGAATCTGCGTAAATTACAGCATCTGAAAACCTCTATTCTGAGAGACATGTTCAGACCAGAACTGCTCTCTCTCTCTCTGTCTCTCTGTCTCTCTCCCTCTCAGTCTTTGTCATTTCTCCTTTGCCCGACTCTGTTAGACAGTACACTCTTTAGTACAACATTAACTGAATGAATATGATATTATATGATAATATATTACGCAATGTGATACAAAATAAATCAAATATGTTGTGAGTTACATTTGTCGCTGAACACAAAGTGAACAATTTTTTTCATGTTCAACATTTTCAGTGTTTTTCTGTTTGTATAAAGATAATGTATAAATTAGTTTATACACTACAGAGTCAGAGAACATGTTTAAAATTCTTGATTTTATTTTCAATTATTCTTATAATATTATGCCTTTATTCAATTAGATTTTTTTTTCATTTACCTAATTTTGCTAAATATATTTTCCATTTTATTAAATATAAATGATGGAAAGTTTGAGCCTCTTCTTCTCTAAGGTACTGGATAATGACAAATGTCATTTTTGTTTGTCAGTTGTGTTTGTTTTTTGTCCCTGTTCATCATTTATTTAATTTTTCTATCTGTTTGACCAGATGATTATAACTTTTTTCCTCAGTTCTGAAACGGTTTTCCTTCTTTTACCCTGTTTTACTCTGAATGTGAACCGATCTGAACAAAACAGTTCCCAGTCTGATGCCTCTGACCCTGGAACCATTCTCACCATCCTTCCCACACCAACAAACAAGCAAACGTGTGAGCGCTGTGCGAACACGGGCACAAAGACGGGTTTAGGGCGAGGCTGGGCGGAGTCAGGTGGATCAGGGAGTAATGTGGGAAAGCTGGAATCTCCCCCTGATCCTCCACGGACCACCACCGGGAAGATTCAGGTGTTTTTCCTGGGAATGGTGCAGCGTTCTGACGCATTTCAGTAAAACAGAGCAAAAACTCTCTCTCTCTCTCTCTCTCTCTCACACACACACACACACACACACACACACACACTACACTGTGAGAGTGTGATTTCGTGATCACAATAAAACAACATGTTTTAAAGGCTTTCACAGACTTTGAGGATTCGTGCTCTAATGGGAAAATGAAACACGTGCAGATCCACCGTGTGACGTGTGTGAATGAACACACACTCCTGGTCCAGGTCTGATGTACTTTCACACACACACACACAGCATGAACGTCTGAACAAAGTCAGTGTTTATGTATTTATCCTGTCCTGTGACCTGACATTTGTTTGTTTACTTTTTAACCCTGTGAAAACAAATCCGATTCTGTCATCCTAAATGTACAAAAATTAGAAATGTTAAAGATAAACAGAATTATAAATTGGTAAGATATACAGAATTACAAAGCTGCGAAATATGAAGAATGTTGTTCTTTATAAAGTAATACAATTATTAAACACATGCATGTAATTAAAACACAAATAAAAACATGAATATTCTTCTACTTAAAGACATAATCAATTCTTTTTTTCACAATCATTACATTGTTGCTGTAGTTAAAGTATTGCTAATTGAATACATTTATTTATTAAATAAAAAAATAAAAAATGTCACTTGTTTATCAAATGTGTTTCTTCTATACCACACGTCACTTTCCCAACATTTAATATCTGTCCATCACTTCATGTTTGGACCCGATCTAATTCCCATCCAACAGACCAGTCACTGTCTCCCATAATTCATTCATCTGCTCCATAATTAGGATTACAGTAACATGACTTCATGTTAACTCCTACTGTGGGAACGACATCCCATAAACCTGTGTCCTTTAGTCAAAAAACGTCTTCTTGGCTATTCTCACATTTGTCTTCTCACAGAGACCAGGAGGTGAGGACGTGAAGAGGTGGAGACTGTGGGAGCAGCTCCTGCAGTGAGGAGACAGATTAGAGAGATTAGAGTTTGTGTGGAGTCTCCTCTAAACATCAGCTCCCATCAGATGTTTCTGCAGTCACAGAGGAAACAGCAGGGATTACATCTGTTTACCTGTAATCCTGTTTAATCTGGAGCCACGCCAGCACAGAGAAGAGGACCAGGAGGTCCACATAGAGACACCCGGAGACAAAGACACAGAGACACTGAGAAACTTGGACTGAGACATAGTCCAAGCTGAGATACCCAGCGGTGGTAGAAGAGTTGACCTCGTCTGTTGTATCAGTTTTACCTGAAGTAAAATAAAAACATACCTGGTTGTCCCCTGGATGTACTTTAGTGTGTATAGTGTGTGTATAGTGTGTGAGTATTTGAGTCTGTAGTTAGTGTGTGTTTGTGTGTGTAGTTGGTATTTGCCCTGTAGCCTGTGTACAGCGTGTAGTTACTTTGGTTGAGCTGTGTTGGATGAGTGTCGACTGTGTTGTCAGTCCAGACTGACCGTGTGACTGTCAGTCTACTCTGTCTATTCTGTTTTGGTCCAGTCTTGTTACAGTCTGTGTGTGTTTTCACTTGTGCTAATTTCCAAGGAGAACAACTCATAGTTTTTGATGTTGCATTAGCCGACAGCTAAGGCGTAAACAGAACGTCTTCACAGAAAATACTGAGGCAACGACAAGACAAATAGACGGAGAATGAGTGATGAAGGGCGAGAGAGAGAGAGAGAGTCAGACAGACAGACAGACTGACAAGCTGCTGACGCAGCGTCTGAGAATGAGTGGGAGAGGTGAAGTGGGCGAGAGAATGAGTGAGAGAGGGAGTGACAGGGAAGAGAGCGAAATTAAAATATATCAAATGGGGAAAAAAAAGGACCAGCTCACCTTACTCAATCTGGTACGGTGCCAGACCACACACACACACACACACACACCTGGGTGGCCTCAGTGACTGCAGGCTACAGTTGTATCTTCATCACCACAGAAACAACAACAACAACAACATCATCAATGACACTCAGATCATTGGATCATGATCAGATTTGTAACAACCAACATCAGCTCCATTCATGATGTAAACATAGAGTCCTTCAACACAGGTGGAGAATGCAGATTCTTAGTCATTCATTCAATTTAAAAAAGGGCCAGTAGGTGGCAGTGATGTTGCTTCAAAGATAAAGAGCCACCAAAGCTCCAAGGAAGAAGATGTAGAAAAAGTGGTATAAAAAAAAGGAAGTGAAGTTTCAAGGTCATCAGGATTAATCAGGTCAGGTTTGTCTCCAGGTTTCAGTTTTATTCACAGATGATGTCATATATACATATATATAAATACATACAGTATCTATGACTCTATAAAGTATGACTTTACTCACTGGTTGTTTGGTCTGCATTACAGGAAACAATAACCAGGACCGACACATTACAAATGTGTTAATAGCGCCCCCTGGATGGGAGAACTTTGGAAAATTAAGCTTGTGTCTAACTTTACAGAGAAAACACACAAAAGCAATGTTGAACACTACTATGTCCCAACAGTGAGTGATTTAATTCAAGGAGGAGGAGGAGGAGGAAGAGGAGGAGAAGTTAATCAAAATTATCATGCTAAGAAATCTAATCAAGAAACCATTCAGTTTTTCACTTATTCATCTTCAAGCACACTCTGAAAATGGGATGTCATCATCATCATCATCATCATCAGTCTCACCTACTGTAAATGTTTCTACAGATGTTCCTACTGGTCCAAACCCATCATTCCAACCATCCTTAGCCTCCTCCTACCTTGTAATTGGGAGTAGATGAGTCACTTTCTTCACACTAATGCGACCCCACCATCATCACTGGCTCTAAAGGCCTGAAGAAATGAAGAAGTGAGTAGAAGAAGCTCTGAGAGAGTGACGCGAGAGGAGGAGGGTTATAGCTGCTGAATAAATGTTGAAAATGTCTGATGAAAGAGGAGGAGGGCCAACACATGAAAACATTCATATTTTAAAACAGACTCTTTTATCCAAAGTGACTGACATGAGAAGGATTAAATACGTGGTTTCACTGGGCCTTGAACGCAGGACCTTTTTTGTGTAAGGCAGACACCTGAGGCATGTTAGTGTACACTACAGAACCACATCAATCACAGGATTAAATTAAAGCTCACATTCACACCTACGGTCAGTTTAGAGTGATCATGTGAACTTTTTGTTCATGGTTAAAATGAATAATGTCTTATTGGGAAGAAAATTACAACTTTTTTCACAAGATCCCATTATTTTCTGAAATAATTTCTGTGATGTGTAGTCTACCTTTTGACCAGCAGGTGTCAGTGTAGATCTATTATGGTGGTGTCAGTGGTGGGGCTGATTCAAAACTTCTAATTCAACCACACAGAAGGAAGGAAGGAAAGTGAACTCCTGTCACTGTGACACAGTTCACCAGTGTCACCACAACCAACTGTGCCCTCTGCTTTTAACCCATCACCACAGTGAACAGTGGCAGCTTTAAGAACCAGGGAGCAGTGAGTGGAGACGGAGCCATGACAGAGGACCTCAGTGGGAACTTGTTCCTGCTTTTTATCCCAACTTTACAAAGTCAACGAACCCAAGTGTACAGCAGTACGACAGCTGGTCTGACTCTGACCGCTGGCTCAGCTTCATGTTTTCCTGTCGTATTTATCAGAAGAAGAAAAAGAGCAGAAGCAGACGCCGTTCTCCTTCTCCCTCTACCTCATCTTCAGGTCAGGTGAGATTCCTGAAGAAGAAATGTGGAGATTAATGAGAACTGACACTGCCTGGCTCCATAACTGTACACAAACTACTGATTATTTTTTAAAAAAAATTAAATTATCACGAATGTTTTTGGAATAAGAGAATTTCCCTCTGTTTAAATTTGATCTGCACTTATAACAACTAACCACGGGTGAAAGAAAAGTTGAAAAGTGCAGGAGGTGAATGGGAGCCGTGAACACGGCTGATGTACAGACTTCACAGACAGATAAGGAGTTTAGAGCTGTTTATGTCTTTCCTGTTTTCCTCCCAGGAAACAGGGACAGCTGTGGGAGGATGTTCTGACTGTCTTCTCTGGTCCACTCCTGCTCCCTATCTTCATGATTGATGCCTCCTCTCTGTTTTAAAGCAGCTCACTCTAGGAGTTTGTTTCAGTCAAACCCACACCATGGCGTCAGTGAAGGACCTGATTCTGGCTGCTGCTCTTCTTGTTGCTGCCCTCGTTTCACTGAGTGAGTTTCTGCCTTTTCTCTCTGTCTTTTCTAATGTTTTATCAGCTAAAGATTCAATTAAGGGTAAATTAAGGACCGACTGACCTCAGTTACCCCTAGCCTGGGGCAGACACTGGTCATATACCACAAAGTCATATACTGTAGTAGTGACAGGTTGTTTTTTTTTTGACATCTCAAAGTTTGGTCCTAATCCTTATTCTGTTTGAATAAAAAACCTTGGTGTCTGTTGTAAAGACTGAATCACACCATCACAATAAATATAGGTAAATACTTCCAGTTTGCACCAGCTTCTACTTTGGGTTTTTGCATGATTTTTTTTAACCATTGAATATTATCATTATTTAACCTTTTTGTTTTCTAATGTTTCCTTACTAATTTTCTTGTGGTTTTTAATTCTTTTATTTCAATTTCCACCACAGAATTAAACCAACGTTTCTCTACTAATTTATCATTGATTTCAAACCTTTCTAGATGTCCTTCTCTTAATTCTTTTAGGGGCATGGGAAGGGGCAAAAAGGAAAGGATATTACAATATGATAAAATTGTAAACATTGTCTAACTGTTAACTGTGTCTTTCCCTTCCTGAATGGTGGGGTTGATCAGCTGAGGGTATCATGGGAGGAGGAGAGGCAGCTCCTCACTCTCGGCCCTACATGGCTTCCATCCAGAAGCCCGAGGGCGAGAAGATGATCCATGAATGTGGAGGGTTTGTGGTGGCCGATCAGTGGGTGATGAGCGCAGCTCACTGTCTGTCAGATGGGTGAGGTTATAAAAATATATATTTTTTATGTTTCCAGTATTGAATAGAATGTTAATCCTAATTTCCTGACCAGGAAAAAAAAATCTGCTCATTTTCCTTTAACCTAAAGAGCAGAAAACACTTCAGATTCTCTGTTGTCCATCTAATTGTAGCAGAAGAAATAACAGTTTTAGAACAATGACAAACAATATTGGTTATGGAAAAAACATATTGGTTATGGAGCTTAGCTTTTTTTATTAAATAAAAAATATATAAGCGCAAATAACCTGCAAATGGAAAAACTGTAATGATAAAAAAACAAGGAAATAAGGATAAAAGGAATTTAATAAATATTAGGGGGAAAATAACATCTGAAAACAACTAAAGTCAGACAAACAAATAAAAACTTAAAATAAGTAAATGTAGCGAAATATTTTCAGATTTGTATTTATTTTATTTTATGATGATTATGGCATGATCAATTTAAACAATTTGTTTGTGTATCTGAAATTAAATGTTCAAATGTTTCCACATTTGACAGAATTAATGGAAGAAAAATAGTTCTGGGAGTCCATTCTCTGAGTCAGGTTGAAGACACAAAGCAAACCTTTGACATCTTGGAAGTTCACAACCATCCCAGCTTCCAAAGTTATAATTTTGACAATGACATTGCTTTGATTAAAGTAAGTCTAAACCCTTTGTCTTGGTGTTTTTAGACATTGTTGGTCGTGATTTTTGGATCATTTGTGGATGGTTTTTTTGTTGTTGTTGCAGCTTGATCGTACCTACAACTCCACCGAAGCTGTCCAAGCTGTGCAGTTCCTCAGAGCTGGAGGCTCCAACCCTGAGACTGATGCAGAGGTGGAGACGGCTGGGTGGGGATCCCAGGACAACCTGGGGACCAGACCTGACAAACTGCAGGAGTTGACCATCGACGTATTCAGCTCCAGGCGCTGCAAGCGCTCAGACTACTACGGCCGAAAGTTCACGGACAACATGATGTGTGCTTACAGAGTGTGTCAGGATCCATGTAACAAGCCGCACGAGAAGGAAGACAGCTGTGACGTAAGTATCAGAGCGCATGTACTGTATGTGTGTTGAATAAGCCCAGAGGCAGGGGGGGGGAGGAGACCTACTACCCCCTCCCCCC